CATAACATGTCAGGGCGGATTGTCAGTGGACGTCTAATTAGTGGACACAGTGTCATACTCTGCCCCACCCCCGCCCTCTCGCAGCTGTGGTGTAGCCTGTCAATTAATCTGAATTTTACCTGGCCCAAGATTCAAGCAGAGAACAGAAACCGCCTTCATTTCCAACATTTTAGTACACATTTAATCATGGGCTGGGGTCCCACTGTTTGCCTCAGCCAGGATTTGTGTTGACATGATTCTCTGATTAAATGTCCAATTATACAAGCCCAAGCTAACAGTTAACCCTTCCCATAAAATAATTGAAAGTATAATTTATTTTTCCTTAAAAAAATAATAAAATATTAAAATGTAATTCATTAAAAATCAGCAATATTATAATATAATATAACATAATATACAATTTACAAATAAAATAAAAATATATAACAAATTACATCTTAAGTAAATATTACATTTTTCTTTTTTGTTAATTGTGTTTTTCTGCTTGTTTAGATCTATTCACAGTCAAAGTTGTTGAATTGCTCAGCCCGTCCATAAACTGCCCCTAAGTGCCAGCAGATTTACCATAAAGCTTCTCGTTGTTGCTCTTCCTCCAGATCCATCTGCTCCTCCCAAACCGACCAGCCTGCGAATCAGCAACATCACAGCGGGAGACGATGGTCAAGTGTTGGCTCGTCTCAACTGGACGCTGCCAGAGGAGCCTGATATTCCCATCCATCACTACAAAGTCTTCTGGAGCTGGACGGTTCCCACCAAGTCCATGGTGCCGTCCAAAAAGAAGAGGAGAAAGACCGTGAATGGGGTAATGAAAACCAAGGCACTGTCTACGCAGACTACACACAGAAACGCAGCAATGGTGTCTATTTTTATCCTGTTGAAATACCAACGTTCACGCATGGACTGACGCAACTTGTCGTTTAAAGTTTTGATCATTTCAGCTGATGAAACGCACTGTAACGCCCAGAAAAGAAAACAAGTCGGTTTTAGAGATTTCATTGTCTGTGATTTATCTTTGAACAGAGAAATTCAGGATGTGTTTTTTAAGGGAAGACGTGACATGGTTTGGCTTCTGTGAGCTAAATCTAGTCTTGTGCAGGCACAGAGGCATTATTGATTTATCAACAGGCAATACTATCATTTGAATGCTTGTTATTGAACCGTCAACCTAGAAACTTTTTGTTGTATACAACTTTTAGTTGTATTTGCCGGTTTAAAATGGCTGATAGCTTGTTGCTAACACTGAAACAGCACATTAGCTTCTGGTTACAGTTGTAGGCCCGAGTGTTCATTCACCACCAAAATTCCTTTCCTATATAATGCCCAAGTGTGGCTAATTCAAACAAGTGTAAAATGTACTGTAAAGCCTACTTTGATTGGGTTTTACAGACAACTTACAGATGAGCTAAAATATGCAGTAATTTGGTTTTGTTAAACAAAAACTCAGCAAAGCTAAAAATTGTTTTCATTCTTTTTTTTTGTAAAGTCAACAAAGTGCGGCTGTTGCTACACGAACACCTTCACCTTGACTTGACCTCACAGATAAATGACATGACAAGATCACTGACTGTTGTCATCAATCATACACTATGTTCACAGCTGAAAGAAAAAAAAAAATCCAGCGCATCATATCCAGTAACATAAGGGCCTAATAGCACATACCTGTGGCCTCGGCGTTTCATTAGCGACTGAAGGAGCGAGCTGAAAGACACATTGTCTAGACAGTCCACACACACCTCTATAAAGTCTTCTCCTGAATTAGTTTCTCAAATGTGAAGCAGATGTGGTGCCGCAGAGATAGAGGTGGGAGACACCAGACACCTATTGATACACGTACTACTGTTTTCTACTTTGGCACCTTGGGGGTTTGAAGGCAGCCTGCTGCTCCAGGAATGTGAAAACACGCACAGTCAATAACAAGAACTCATCAAACCCATGCTGATGGTGGAATGCTGGAAGTCAAACACAGTGAGGAAGCCCTCGGAGGCTTTGATAACACGACTCCCTCTCGAAGCCCTGGAGGCTTTCTCCTCGCCACGGTGCCTTCCTCCACTCCACATGTGTTCTTAATAAGTAAGACTTTCCCAACAGCCCTGCGTCGGCCCGGGGCTCTGAGCGAATGACCAGGACTGGGGCAGTGACGGGGGGCTCAGGTAACTGTGTGGTGGAGAACCCATGCCGACCAAGATGTTTTTTTCTCTTTGTTGTCGTCACAGGCTCAAAGCTGGGCAGATCTGGAGGGGCTTCAACACAACAGCAGTTACACCGTGGAGCTGCAGGCTGTCACATACTGGGGACAGGTGCGACTGAAGAGCTCCAAGGCTTCTCTGCAGTTCAGCACAGCGCAGAATAACGAATCAGGTGAACACTATGTCCGTGTTGTGCTGTAAACGATGTGGCGTTCGCTCTCTTTTTACACCTCATTGTTCCGTCCTGGTCGGAGGACAAATGGTAGCTGGTCAGTCATTGTTCAGACCCACCAGACGACTGTGGATAATGAAAAACAGAGACACACGGCTGACTGTAAGATATTGAAGAGACGTTAATGCTCAGGGGTTGGTGTTTTCTGAAGCTTAATAATTTTATCTGCCGACAGGAAATGAAAATAATTCACCTAAACTTTAAACTGTGTCTCTTTAGAGCAAATAAAAACAAAACAACAAAAACAAGAACACTTACAGATGTCCATGTTTTTAAATAACAAAAAACAGAATTGACCGAAGTGAATGAACATGATCTTAATAAAAATAAATAAATCACAGAAAGCTAAAGTAAGAATATTAACAACAATAGGAACAACAGGGAAAATAATAATAATACTAGTAAATAACACAATTGCTGACGCTGTAAGGTACGATTTTAAAGTCTCCACTAGACCCATACAGTTTGCTGTTTCCTCTCCTTGAGGTCACTAGTTCGATCCCCAGCTGCTGCCTCACAGTCTTTCTGTATAGGTTTGCAAGTTCTCTCAGTATGTGTTGGTTTTCTTTGGGTACTCCGGTTTCCTTCCACAATGGATTCTGTGAATGGTTGTCTCAATATGTGGCCAGAGGACCTGCTGGTTCAATTGTAAAGATAAACTGTAACAGTCCAAGCCAAACGAGGCGACGCTTTCACCGGAGAAGAACAACATTTGTGTTGTTTTTTTATATAATACTGGTAGTCACTGGATACATCTGTCTCAACTACGTTTGTCTAGAAATACATCAGAGGAAGACAGATAGCAGCTGACCAGCAGGTTGAACAGTTTTAGGAAATGTGCCAAAATCCAGAGTCAAATCATCTAAGGTCGTGTCATAACAGTTTAATGTTTTATTGATTGTTGCTGGGTCTGTGACTGATTCAGTCGTGCTCTGAGGTCATAGTGGATTTTTATAAACTTCGTACATTACTCAACATTATCTGCTCCATCGTTGAACAAACTCTGCTCAGTTGTTGTGATTTATAAAGTTTTTCTTTTTTCATACAGTAGAAGTCATATCCTGTAAGTAGTTTACTGGCCAGAGTTCCAAGTTCAGCTTTCATTTGTCATGTTTAAATACAGCGGTCCAATCGCTCACCATGAAGGGCAGAGCTGCTACCACGTCCCCACGGAACGCCATGAGTAATGAGCAAACGTCGGAGTTCGCGGATGACTACACCAGCGTTGGTTTGGTTTATTTGACACCAAAAGTCTTGATAACCAAAGCATTTATTTCTCCCAAAGTTTCAACAAAATCAAGCTTGTAAAACCAAATGATCCCATCTGTTCATACTGATAAACAGAATCAGTCACTGGATCCTACAGAGTCCAGGTTGAACCTGGGTTTTTGAACCTCCAGAAATCATTTCATGATTTATTCCTAAACCTGACCAGTTCAACCATGTTGACCCTTTAGTCTTTTTGTTTGGATAGAAAAAAATACTTAAATAAATAAAAATACTAAAAAATAACACCACCAATTGTTATTCAAGCACAACATAGTGCAATGTTTCAGCTTCTGCTTCATGATCCCAGACCAGACACTTTCCTGCCCTTGGAAGTCTCATTCCGACTCTATAATTATTCAGGTTCAGACCCGGTGACATATAAACCCTTCCTTCAACCAATGAAATCATCCGTCTTTATTGTTCGTTCCCATTGATAATCAATACAATGGCTTCTCTTTGCTACACTTCTCTCCTCAAAGTCTCATTTCCCATTCTGATCCAGCGTCTTTTGAACTGCTTGGCTTCATTGGGATGCAGTAGCTATGAACACAGAGCCAGGTTCTTACTGGACTCCGCTGAGAAACTTCTCCTCAGCGTGTGAAAGTGGTGACGGCCCGCTCCTCCTCCTTTTTTGTCCTTGACTTCTGCTTCAGTATCACCCCAAACTGAATTATTTTTAAACCTGTGTATAACTTAAACCTGTAGAATCTCTTTAATTTGGAAATAATTGTGTTTTGTTAACATCACAAGGATTTAATTCTGAAACACGGTAGAAATAGTCTTAGCCTCTTGACTGGTTGGCCACCCCTGGTGGAGCAGATCAACAAGGATCTAAGAAGACACAGGTGAGAGAAAACCCACAGGAGGGAGGAACAGGGAGACGATAGAGTCTGAAGTGGAGAACTTGGGAAATGAAGAATGAAGAACAAAAACTCCACAGACTGGACGTGACGATTTTACTACAGAAACAGGAAATGTCCAAATGTACGGTCCACCACTGGTTATTGAGGAAATATCTATCTGTAGCATCTTCTTGTACATTAACGCCGCTCTCGGCCAAAGATGTTTGGCAGCAGCAGAGAAGGTGTAATCAGGAGGCAAATGTCAGGTCGCGCACTTCCTGAAATCAGACAAAGAGCTGGAATGGCTGCCGATTTGTGATTGCAGATCCACATGGGATTAACTGAATCCAACCAATAGATTCCAGCTTTCCAGTGTTTTCCTTCAGATATTAATTATGCCAGATTAGAAGTTCTGTTGGCCAAACAACACCACGCAAGTTGCACAATGAAGATCGAGCCAAGATACACTGAGAGCGTGTGCACTCATCAGGAGTGTGTGTGTGTGTGTCTGTGTGTGTCTGGGTGCTGTGTACCCAGTGGGTCTGTGCATTAAGGACGTGCTGTAACTGTGGTTTTTTTGAACAAAGATAGAACTCTGTTTTCTGTTTCCATGCTGCAGCGCTGGCCAGATCAGCGTCACTGCAGTTTCTTGGTAACAGCAGCAAACACTTTTTCTCTCTTCTGTCTCCTTAGTCAAGTCGGTGCTCAAGTCAAAGAAGGAGGAGATATCTCCCCTCATTTCAACTCTGGCCAAACGCCCCTCTGGCCCTCTGGAGGTGGGAACTCCGTTCTACCAAGACGGCCAGCTGCAGGTCCGTGTCTACTGGAAGAACCGAGGAGGTAACGAACTCTCCTGTGTTTATCAAGGCTCTGCCGGAGTCTAATCAGCACATTTTGTCGCTCATTAATCACTCTGACTTCCAGTAGAGGTCAAAGTTATTTACTTTTACTTTTTAATTGTGTTTCTTTTAACCAGGTAATGTTTTTTTTATGCCACAACAATGAACTCAAACCCAAATCATGCCAAGGTCAGAGTTATCATTCCTTTATGGAAGAAACATGTTTGAAACCTCAACAATGGAAGATTGTTTTAAACGATAAAATATCGGTTGATTTAAATGAAACCAGAGAGAACACGTGTCGTCGTGAGCACCTGGTGAACTGGTGGGAGACCAAGCCGCTGTTTAATAAAAGGCCATAAACACAGACGGCCGGGGTGTGTGTGATGGGGTTCATTGACAGCTGCGTTTAATCGTCCCCCAAGCTCACTGTAGTGTTGACGCAGCTCATTCTGTTTTACAACCTCTGATGTCACCGCAAACAGAAATGGCTGTGGGTTGAAGTCCTGTCCCAGTGGTGTCCACTCTCCTGTCCTTATGGAAACCCTGAAAGCCACGCTCTCTGGGTAACCCGTCAAGGTCCCACTCACTGGTCTGTGTTCTGTTACTAACGTACGTCATGGGCCGGGCCAAACTCCACATTCTGGAGTCAAGAATGTGAACCCTGGCCGAAGGAGAAGCCTGGTGAGACACCAAATGCTGAATCAGAGAAAGACACACACACAGAGAGAGAGAGAGAGAGAGGGAAGATAAAGTTGGACCAGAAACTGTTAGCAGAGCTTGGCATGGTCTTGGAGAGCTGAGTGAAGTGGAAGAGGATCAGGCATGGCTGAGGAATCCTACTCTGAAGTCCCTAAACCTGGTCCAGCTTCAGCTCCATCTTCATGAGTGTGTGTGTGTGTGTGTGCGTGTCACTGCCACTCATTAGTGTGAGGAACGACCTTGGCTGTGACTCTGACAACCTGCATTCCACTACTGTAAACATACAGTAACACAGATGCTCCACCAGCGTCTGTGTTTCTCGACATCTGGTTCGTGTGACGGTAAAGAAGGGACAGGTTAACTGAACCGTGATTAAACTCTTCACTCATTGTCTTGTCTGATCCAAACCAGCCCGGACTCTTGGCCGCTCCCAGCAGACGAAACAGAACCTCACTGTACACCAGCTCTGATGATATATCACTGTCTACCCGACAGCCAGACAATGGACTCAGGGCAGATCTGAGACCAGCTCCCAGCCGTGATTTATCGAGCACCGCTGCTGCGGTTCTAATCTGTCCTCTACCTGATTTCCATGTCCCGTTCCTTGTTTACATTCCATTTCCCCTCTCCGTCAGATCCGGCTCAGCGTATCTTGTTTATTTTTCTGCCTCCATTTCCCGATTCCCCTCAAAATTCTCTCTTCTTCTTCCAAAGAGCTCGGGGGCTTTAAATGCCAGATCTGTGTCTGAGCCTTCAAAGCAGCCCCTTCCCTTTAATCTCCCCACTACAATGACGGGGTGAGCGCAGCACAACTCAATTATTAATCTGAGACGGAGCGTACGTTTCCAAACAACACGGCCCGGATGAATAATAGATCTGGTAACTTTAGAAAAGAGTAATGGGAAGATAAACAGTGCTGATTAGCTACCGTACAGTAACGAGGTGGAGCGGTGCTGCAGCGGCAGCCACTGTCAGCCAGTCCCAGCATGACCTCCGCCGCCTGACCTCCGCCGCCGCTGCACTGATGAGCGGCTACACACAACGAAGCGTATCAAGAAGAAAGTATTAGCCTTCAGCTAACAAATGGAAATATTTAGGACTGTTGTTAGTAATTTAATACAAATATAAAGATGGAATTGCTTTCGACATTTTCTTTCTATTATTTTCAAAGACACAAGTTATCGTGACCATCGATAATGGAAACAGCGATAGAGAGTCTGAGCCTCGGAATGCGACGTTGAAACGTCTTTTTATAGCCTGGACTTTCAATGGCCTCCTACGTGTTATTAAAATGTATGAACATGTCCAAACAAAGGAACCAAAGAGCCTTTGATGTGCAGGGGAATCAAACACACAACCTGAGTTTGGAGCTACAACAACTGAGGACCAGAAAAAGATTTCACATACAAAGCACTGGTGACCATGTGACCATGTGGGTGTCACATGTTGTTACTCCAACTGTGTGTTTGTGTGTACAGTCGCTAACGTGGGCCCTGGTGGACGAGGCAGCAAATAACATGGCTTTTACTGGAGAAATGAGATAAAACAGAATCATAGAAGCAGAATAAACTAAATAACTGAAACAATATATGAAATATTAAATGTCTTAGATCAAAGTTACATTGAGATGTTTGAAATTGTCATCAAATGTGTGAAAACATCCGCAGTATGGCAACAAATTATTAGCGACTCTGTTTGCTGAAGTCGCTAAAGTCGTTAAACTCTGGTATTGAGAACGTGTCTAATAATCATGTCTTTAAAATGTATATTGTATTGTCTAATAATCATGTCTTTAAAATGTAACAGCTTGACCCAGACTTTCATCTGAAATTATTCTGGTGTCCAGTTCACTCATTAAGACAGGGGTCTCAAACTCTGAGCTGGGGGCCACTGTTGTCCCTACCATCCTATTGAAGGGCCAAAAATAGCAGTGATACAGATTCTTCAGGACAGTTTTTTTAACAGTTCTCACACAAGGTGACACACTCTATTCCCCTGGTTTCAGATCCCACTGTGAGTCGATACCATGTCCAGTGGACGCCGGAATACTGCAGCCATAACGAGAGCCGAGGGCCGGAGAAGTCTGTCACGCAGGTTAGTCTCCAGGAAGTGTTTCTCACCTCCCAGCTGGATCACAGAGCCCGCAGAGCCACGGCTTGATCCACAGATTTGTGCAATGCAGAGCACGTGTCAGGAGCTCCCCCCCCCCCGATGTTTCAGAAAGGACAGCAGCTCCTCTTATGAAAACAACACTCCACTGAGTGAGCCTGAAGGCCCGGCGCTTTGGATCTGCCCACGGCCAATCACTGGCTTTTGTTTTGAATATTATGAGTCAGTGGTGTGAGCAGACATGTGGTGCGTTGGCCAATGAAAGTCATTAACGGAAAGAAAAAGAAAAAAGAGATTCCCGGAATGAGATGGGGGGGGGGTCATTCTTTTTGCTCACTGGGTCCAGTAATGCTGCTGTATGGCTCTGTCCTTCAGGGTGAAGGAGCTTTGTGTTTGTGTCTAGGGTGATGGGGGAGATGGCGGAGGCGGGGGGTAAACTGTTTAAGGTTCAGGCTGATGCAGAATGGCTCTGCTATCGACACAGTCTTAGGGGAGCGGCTCTCTGTTTGCACATGCATTTTCTATAGATCGCTGGGAAAGACTCCAGGCCTGAGCTTTTATGTCAGCGCTGAGGCTCATTCACTTTTAATCAAAGCTGTTTCATATCACAGGGAATATACAGTACACTAGAGTTCCCTTCTGTCTTTCTGCCTTTCTCAGGAGAGCGTCTTTACTCCAAATGCAGCGTATACTGTATACAAATCCACTGCTGAGTGTGATTTCTATTTTTTCCTCCAAAAAGAGCCGTGAGAGGTGCTTTTTGTTAAGATGGCCCGATAATTAAAGTTTAAAGCCATGTGCAAATTGGAGCACAGCTGCGGTGGATTTATTAACAGAGATTTACAGGCTGTTCCTCTTTCAAATTACACATGCGTCTGCTTAGGATGCAGCGTCTTTAATGAAGTTCTGTTCTGTTCATCCATTTGGGAGCTGTAAAAAAAATCATTTTGTATCGCAGTTTGTGTTTGAGGACGGTCGCGTAACGTTAACCAGCTGAGTGTTCAAAGTGCTGCTGTAATGTGGGGCATGTTCCCGAGGCCCGAGTGGGGAATGTGATCTGCCCCTGCGCTGTGTATTTAATTATCTCTGAAGCTCCATGGGACCTGACCTGGGTGACATGTCAAAGTCATCAGGGCTAAATAATATGTTTCTTGGCTCAGGAGAACTACATCAACCTCCCGGGCCTGCTGTTCTCCTGCAAGTACAAAGTCACAGTTCACATGCTGAAGTCCAAGAGGCGCTCCAAGGATGAGAGCATCACCTTCCTCACACCATCGTGCGCTACCATCCGGAGTAAGACTCACAAACACATCCCCTGCCCAGGGGAGGGAGGTGAGTGTGGAAAACGCTCTTTTTTTCTTCTTTAATGTCATATTATGCAAAAAAAAATCGTAATTATAGCCAGTCTTGTTAGCGTAGCTCACAACGAAAAGTAAAATCATGGAAAACGCAGCCTCATTCTGTCCAAATGAAACAAATTCTAAATTGCGATACACGAACGTGCTATATCTTTGTGTCATCTAATTTGCTTCTGTCAGTTTCATTATTATTTAACGGTAATGTCCAAACTTTTGTCGAACAAAGGTCGGGGGGCAGAGTCGGTATGTCCAACTGTCCAGGATCCAGCTGTTCCTGCTGTAATTGTTGAGTTAAACGTATTTTTGTTCATGCAAAAAGTGAGTAGCATTTAAACAGTTACATTAAAAACTCAAAGGAAGGAAGATCCTCGTACTACTACCCCTCAAAACTCCTCCTGCTAATCATTGGTCAAGAAAAACATATCCCAAAAAAGGTTTGCCCAAAATGTCATTACAAAAAAGTTATTTTTGAAAAAACAAAAAGAAAGAGACAAATAAAGACAGACAGTCCTGGGGCATAGAGTAGAGCAGAGATTTTCATTAATAGTCTACACTGCCAGGTGTTGTGTTCAATGATGGACACAAAAACACAATTTAAAAAGGTTTCCTAAACATCAACAACTGAATAAAAGAGTAGGCAAAATGAGAAGAAAAACACAGATTTATGCTGCAAAACGTGTTGAAAGCATGAAGTCCCAAAACTACAGAGACGCCATTAAAATATTTCCCCCAACTCAACACTTTGGAACATTTGCTTAAAAAAATAAAACCAAAATAAAAAAAACCCTAAAAACAACAGAATGTTCACTTATTGGCCAATATGTTTCTCTAACAGGCCCGGGACTTCCTAAGGTCCTGGCGAAGCCAGAGAACCTGACAGCTTCCTTCTCCATCAACGAAGGAAACATCACAGGTAGTTTCCTGTGGCGTGTGTCCAGAGTGGCTCCTCATCAGCGAATCACAGGCTTCCAGGTCACCTGGGCCGAAATCACCACGGAGAGCCGACAAAACAGCCTCCCCAACAGCATCATCTCTCAGTCCCAGATCCTGCCTCCGGTAAGTCTGTTTTCATTAAAAACAGGGAGGGTTCCCACTCTAACTCCCCTAATGGCCATTGAGCACAGGCAGTTTTTTTTTACAGCAGCAGATTGAATATGTTTCCGTACTCTACGGGGGCCATATATGCTGTCATATATAGTCAGACAAATCACCCCTGCAGTAGGAGAGTATGTTCTATATCCAGCAGTTCATATTCGTAGCATCTGTCAGAGGTGAGGGTGATTTAGGGATAACACTGTTCTGGCCTCTTTGCATGAATGTGCTGATAAGCGGTGCAGACAGACACAGGAATAGATCTGAGGAAGTGTTGTGTCCTGCTGGAAGTTCTCCTCCTCTGCCTTTTCATCTGCCTTCACGTCTTCATCTTTCATCGTCTGCGCGAGCCATGAAAAAGCCGCTCTTTGACATAATCTGCTCCATCAACGCTGCGCTCTGCCTATCTGCACCTCCCAGCCTTCTGCAGCTCCGCTATAAATAAAACCACCCACCGCACGCTTTATCAAACTGGCAGCAAAGAAGAGAGAGAGAGAGAGAGAGAGAGAGAGAGAAAGACAGCGAACCTTATGAAAACAAAGTCTTTGTTTTGGTCTGTGGCTTCCTGAGACTCCTCTGTTCTGTGGCGTTTCAACTGTGTGTTCTCTTCCCACACTTGACAGGATCACAGCCTGCTGGTGGTTTCCAACCTGAGGCCGTCCACCTACTACAGGCTGGAGGTGCAGGTCATCACTACCGGAGGAGAGGGTCCGGCCACCGTCAAGACCTTTCAGACCCCAACTATATTACCAGTCATTCAACACCGTAAGTAATGTCAAGACGTGAAGTAGGGGTCGGGCCACATGGCCTTGCCTAACAGCAGGAAGATCAACAGTTTGAGGGTTCAATCCCCAGTCCTTTGTGAATGGAGTTTGCATGGTGTCCTCCCCCCCAAAAAAAAACTGCACAAATGAACTGGACCTCTGGGTGTAAACAAAAATGGTTTTCTTTTCAGTTAAGTACATTTTTATAACTGTTTTGTTTACAAATTGTTTTACAAATATTCTTATTATAACTCTCAGCATTAGTTCTTGCTTCAGTCTCCAGTTTAAAAGATCAACTACACACCACCTGTGTTCCATTTAGAAACTCAGGAGAGAGTTGGACCGTCAACCTTATCTTTTCTGTGACGTCAGTCTTTCAAGTTTATTTTGGCTGCAAGCGAGAAGGCAGCAGTTCTAGGAAGAGACATTTGTCTTTGATGTCGTTGAGCTCAGCTATGACAATATATATTTATATATATTTATATATATAACAACACATAACAAATCCATTTAAGGACGTTACAACCCTCCTCAGTGACATCTCTCCGTGTGTCTTTCAGGACCCAGGCTGCGGCAGCATCACTCTCATCACTCCCAGAAACCATCAGTGGAGAGACACTGAGGTTCACACCCAGTCGAGGGCACATCGGTGGCTCTCTGCTCCGGTCTGTCACGACAGGAATGTGTGGAACCGCAACACAAACACAGAGCACCAGACCATGAACCATGTACTGACACCACCCTCTCTGCTCATGAAATATGGGCCCATCCTCGTCAAGCTCCACAAAACGTCAGTTTTTCTCCTCAAAACTTCCCTCTCCACTGACACATGGCACCAGACCGCGAGGTGCGAACGGTGAAATCATATGGAAGACGTGAAATCCCAGGTGTGATGGCGACAGAGGAACTCCCTACAATGTTGTTGCGATGCAGCTGTAGTAATATGTATACTGAAAAAAACAAACAAAAACAAAAAAACAACACACATGCGAACCATCCACTTAGGTTGTGGGAGGAGATGTAGACTGTTATGGATGTCATGGATGCAGCCATTTAGTGCGAAATTGAAAGCAGCTCTGAAGTTCTCGTGGTTTTAGAGAGAGACATTATTGAATGGAAATATTTGGTGAAAACCCACTTTTTAGTAGATGTTTTCCCTCAATATAGAATTATTTAAGGTAGTAGGTAAGTCGTTAGGTGTTTGATATGAATAAAGCTGTCAAAAGATTGAAGCAGTGATTATCAACTGGTGGCCCACGGGCCAAATACTGGCCTGTGAAACCATCTGATCTGGCCTGAGACTGGATTCCAAAAATGTGAGGTTTCTATCAGAAATCCCAAGGTAAAGTTCTGGCCACACTGACAAATATAGTTGGTGACCTCTGGATTAAAGTTTTAATCTGATTAATCCAAAAAAATATCTGTGTATTGATGGGACAGAAAGACATAACAGTGGGTAGATGTATGTGTAGATAAATCTGTGCACTGTGAGGCTGCTCTAATGCTAGCTTGCCGTTGCTGAGGTTCTTCGCTGCAAGACAAATTTTCCCCACAATATGCTCAAATGACACCAAATGTGTCTTAGAGCCAAATATATGGTTTACATTGAAGGTAATTTAATGTTAAGCTAATGTAACATGTATCCAGTTAAGGCTAATTCAAACATGACAAACATTGTCATTTCCAATCCCATTTAAAGGAAAATAAAGCACCATTTCTATATATTTTCCATTCATATAAATGTTTTCTGAATAGCTACGTCCGTTTCCGATGTACAGTCTATGAATTAAACCATTTTTGGCAAGCTGAATACAAATATTTGGGCACAAATACATGTAGAAATAAATACCATTAAATGTAAAACAGTTCTTAATTTACTGGGAAACAAAAGTATAAAATCTGTCTATTTATTTCGTGTCACCTTTTATGAGGCGCTTAAGCGAACAGTCAGTATTGATACTAAATGTAAGTCATTGTTGTCTAACCCAAATATTTCATGTACAGTAGTACGTTGCATGTAGTACATTTGATTTTTTTTTCCTCAAAAAAAAAAAAAAAAATTGTAAACGTGTCACCTGCTTCAAATTGAAAGCCGGCGACGGTCTTGCATGACAACCATTAACATTCTGTCGGCATGAGGATTTTCCATGTTAGCTTTTTTCAAAATGTATTAGCAATATTCCATTAACAGATTAACAAAGAACTATATTGGGAATAATATGTCATGTTATTAATGAAAATTATAACTTGCGTGGAAACGATGAATTGTACATGTTCTTGGCTGTAGAAATATTTGTCGTGCAAACAGTCAGTGAATGTCTATATTTATTTATGTGTGTGTTATTACAACGTTTGGTTTGGATGTGTGTGAATGTATATGTCCTGTGTGTTATAGCTTCAATATGTTTTTGTTTTTTTTTTCGAACCGGCGGAAGGAGAAAAAAAAATCCTGTAAAGACATTTTGTAAAAATTGAATTGTAAATACAGTCTTATGTTACATGTTATTTTTCCATGGTAGAAAATGTACAAACTGCTAAGTAATAAAATAAAATAATCCTTAACCAACTGCTCTGTTTGTTTAATCGGAGCTGCTGTAAAGCGGGTAAATAGGGGCAAATGCTTCTCCTCCCTATATTTGGCAGCTCCTGCTGCTTATTTTGGCCCAGAGCTGCACCGTGGCACGGCCTGTGTGCAGCGTATTCACTGATGGGTCCAGGAGCTTGAAGACATGCACTCTGTGAGTCCAAATAAACAGGTCATGGAGCTCTGCAGCCAGAGTGAACTCAGCGTGGAGGAGGTCGGACACCCCTCAGCATAAGGCTGTGCTTCTACCGACGCTCTGTGTTTGAAAAGCATTAAATCGTCCTCCTCCTCCTCTCGGCGGCCTTACACCCTCGTAAAAATGAAAAAGTGGAAATGTTTACAAGAAAATAAAGCTGAGAGTGACACAGTGAGGCTCACGCCTACGTGTGCTGGATGTGGAGTGCGAGGACTTTTTTTTCTTAGATTCCTCATTTGCTGTTCTATAAAACATTTAAGCTGGGAACTTGTTCGTCACGTGGAGCCAGGAGACTTGTACTTTAACTTTATATATTTTAGAGTCAAGGGCCAATAGTGACAGAGGGGTTTGTGGTCTTAAGATAAGATAAAGATATCATAACAGTAGTGTATAAATTCATTCTTCCCAGAGAAATCTTTCCTCTCTTCAAGGCTCTCACATGTAACACTTGAAACTGCAATGACGAATTGGTACTGTTGAACGACGGGAACTGGAGGAGGACCTGGGACTGCACTGGTTGTTCAATACATTTTAAAGGTACAGGATGCTGAAGTCAAAAACCAGGGGGGCAAACACACACGGGGCGGGGCAAGGTAGGCACAGAGCAGTACACTCAGGAAACCAAGGAGAAGGGACTAGAGGTAAGACAGTAAACAAACACAGAAACACATGGAACTAAAAACCTTTAAGCTAACTGACAGCTGTCGGTGACTGAGCGAGTGACTGTCTGTTGTTTCAAGTGATGATGATGTTTCATAGAAGATCTCTTAGTCCTTGGTCGTTGATTAAAAGACGACTAAAACAGTTAGCAACGACTGTTGAAAGACAAGCCCCAGACCAACCTATGGTTCTTTGTCAGACATCAGGAGTGATTCTACTTTCCTCAGTTTGTAATATTTCAAGTCCAGTTTAGACAAAAACGTTGCTCTTCAGCAGCACAGAGCAGATGGTAGACACAGTCGAGGAGCAAAATTCTTGTTTTTAAGACAAAATCGGACGTGGAGGAATGAGCTCCTTGAGTTTGCTTCACCATCTGCTGATCTCCTCTTGTTTTGGCTTACATCACGCTGTAGAGTTTGTTTAGAACACCTCCATAAACAAATCATATAAGTTGAGTGACAGCTCTGCAGACGTAAACACTGATCTCAGAGTGTACGACACGTCCAGTCTGGAGATAGATAACAACCAGTGGGCCCAAAACTGTAAAAAAATGACAAGTGTGAAAAGCTCGTTCGCTCTGGTAAAATTACTCCAAGTTTCATCAGCAGAACTTTATGGATTCAACCTCGTCTCATGTTGACAGTCCGGGCTGCGGGTTTTTCAGTCAGGGCGGGAACGAACACAAAATAAACACAAAATAAAACAGATAAAACTGAGAAGGTAAAAAAAAAAAAAAGTAAAGTTTGGTTGTCATTTAGGCTAATAGATCCAGGTGCTTAGCACTGTGGTACCCATGAAATGGATTTGCTGTTTTATTTGACACAGACCTGCCTATGAAAACATTGCTTATATGTGAGAGGAAATCATTAGTCAGACCACATTACTGTGCTGTTAATGCAGGTTAAACAGAGAGATCAACGTCAATTACTGCTTAGCTTTTTTAAATAGCGGTCGAATTGTCCTACGTTGCAAAAGAATGGCATCGTGTTCCAGTTTTAAGGCAGAAAATACAGCTGTACCCCATTGGCTAATTATAAGTGACATGTCAATTTAAAGCCCACTGTCTGTCATTTTAAACATATATTGCAAAAATATCTTGACTTATTCCAGACCTCGGTGTCGGTGGGATAATGTTCTGTAGTCGTGTGAAAATCTTTTATTTCTTTATGGTCCTAGTTTATCACTTTTCACTGGTTACTTTCAACGTGTTCGTGCATCAAAGTGGCCTCACATGTGTTTTATGAACATAATGTGTTCACTGGACATCGGGGACCATCTTTTCACCAGAAAGGACTTCCAGAAGAAAACGTTGGCGTGCAGTATTAAGCGACGTGGACGTGAGAGAGATGGATCTGCAGGAATGATGTGACGCAATGAACCATGGAGCACAGTCAGTTGAAGGAATGTCTTCCAACAGTTTCAGAAATCCTTGTCATGAGGAGCACAGGGATCTGGGGCCAGAATTCATATGTTGCTCCAAACAAAGAGCTTTGTGGAGTCCAAATAATTAAATGACAAATCCGCTCCAATTAGACGCATTAAGACTTCCCGAAGATAATGACAGTTGTAATTTTAAAATGATTCCACTCAACAGAGAAAGTTTTGTGGAACAAAGAGAAATTAGGACTGGCGTGTTTGTATTAGCATATTGGCCTTAGTTAGAGGAGAAAACAGTAATTGTTGATGATTGTTTTAACTTGTGCTTGATTTTCACTGACGTTCTCCTCCTCCTCCTCCTCGTTGTAACTCTTCCTTTTTTCCCCCGTGTACGTGTTTGAGACGAGCTCTTGCCGTCCAGATGTTTTGACTTGCAGGCCACTCTTGTCACTTGTTATTCTACAGCGAGCGACAAATGATCCCGAGCCCTTGTTTTCACACACACTCAGCCTCTCCAGGCAGTCACTGCTTCGCCACTCAACTTCTCAGGGATGTTGTTTATGTACAGTTCTATTATGTCACAGGAGATTAGTTCCCTTTTGCTGTGCGCACACTAATCCCTCACCCTTTTTCTAGGAGCGCTGCCAGCGTTTTCGCCAAGGCCTTCTTTCTGTGCGAGCCAGCCCCCGCGCCCTCTCTCTCCCTTTTCAGCCTGTCACAGTTCCCTCTGCACAAACCAAATACCACGGCCCTCAAGTGTGAAAACCTCAAAACAAAAGCGCCCCAGCCTCCTTTGAGTCATGTTGCAAGACATCCAAGTCTCAGGGAACATAAAAGAAAGAAGGGTGAAAAAAAAAAAAGAAGCAACATCTAAATAATAGGCAAGTCCTTAGCACAAAAGCTTTTCTCTGATGCTACAAGGCCAGTGCGGCCTTATTCACTTTGCATGACTCTACATTCCTATTGAGAGAAAGCCAGAGGAAAATAAAGGAGGGAGACTGTTTTAAATCTGAACACATATTACTATTAACCGTATTATTCATGTGGCTGTGTTAATAGTCCCAGTCAGTCCAATATTTGCTCATCCTCAAGATGACATTAAGCCCCATTTTATTAGAATTAAGAACAAAACAGCGAGTTCTTTCTGGAGTACAACAAAGCTCGGCCGCTCCTTCCACACATCTCCTCTGATCCCTCTGCACCCGTTCTGCAGATCAACGCAGCAATGAGCCGTGCATCGCTATTTATCAAATCAAAGCCACTTTTATGGGTCATCCTACAACGGACGGCTGCGCGAACGTAACCTTACACTGAAAGGAAGACTGGAATTCCGCTCCCGATGATAGCTTAAATCCTGGTTTTGACGTTAAGGAACGAGGAAAAAAAAATACAAAAAAAAGGATGCGTTTCGACTTTCTTTTTTAGATGACATGTGTCGTATCCTGAATTCAAAAGCTCCGGATTTCAGGTCAGTGAGCTCATGGTTACAGAGTCAGGCTGGGAGATTACTTCCACATGGACGACGTCCATTTGTGCTGCTTTTCCTTGGATTTGATGAGTGGGAATATATTGTCTGTTAAATGGATGAAAAATAACCAATGTTACTCCATCCTCCTCCATTACTGAAAAGCGATGCTGCTTTAGTGCAGTAGTATGGTGAGAAATCTGACCTCGCCCCTGGCACTGGCATGTTTCTGGTTAGGCTCTGGTGAGTGGGACCAGGCAGGGGACACATGAAAGGATCTCTGTGTCAGGCCGCAGAGATGTTCAGTGGAAGTCTAATGAAGACCAGAACACACGGACAGACCTGAGAACATGCATGCCACACGTTATACAAGCGCCGGAGCTACAACCACGCTGACAGCCGTAGTATTCTCATCTTGTTTTTTTA